GATTCACTGAAGGAGAAATGAATTGCCATTATTTTGAAAACTTCATTTAATAGCAAATCAAGAAATTATTTGACATTCGAACAACAGCAATATACAATTCAATTTTATGTAACTAATTTTAAATATCAAATCAATTATAGCTTTATATGCATTCAAAACAAGTTTGGGGACATGCAAGTTTAAGATTGCACCGCATCATGTGAGCAGAATTCTATTTTTTATTTATTTTTTGTTTTTACAGGTTACATTTCTCAATACAGAGTCCTATTTTATATACAGTATCTCTGTGGGTCTTAAAAGGTCTTAGAGTCTTAACTTGATTTTCCACAAATTAAGGCCTTGAAAAGGTCTTAAATCAGAGCAGAACGTCTTAAATTAAGCATTCATGGCATTAAATGTTGCATTCACTGAAAAAAACCCAGTTGTTTTTCTATACAAATATCTAGACATCATTCAATTAAGATTCATTAACATGAGATGCTAACATATTACATCTATTTTTTTGAGAAATGTAACAATTTAACTCTTGAATTAAGTTGATTGGTTTGAGCCCATTGGCAGATGTTTATCTTGCCTTCTTATGCCATTTTATGTTTATGTATTAAGACATTTTGTCTTCAAAAAAGTTTAAAAAAAAGTTTTACCTTAATAAAACCTGTAGAAACCTGAAGATCATACCTAAATTAATTGTAAAATTAGGCTACATAATGTTCAAAATGCAAAAAATGAATTATTTTCTTGATGGAACTGTTCATCAGTTAAATTGCAGCTGCAAAGATGCAGTCACATCACAGCAAGTCGACTGTAATACTTTTACGTCATTCTTCTTTCCCCTAGATGTTAAATAAAAGGCTGCAAAATGCAAAGGCCTGGCCATCTGCCTGGAGATGAGGGTAGCAATTTATTCTCCTATAGTTTCTCAGCCAACCAGGATAGGTGGCACAAATGGAGCATTTTAATTAAAAACTGCTGAGACATTAGGGGTGGATGCCAGCATGGCAATGTTTCCCCACACGAACACGCTGTTTATGTTTCATCACTGCAAAACAAATAAGGCAAACATAATTACTCTGACAATGAAGGGAATAGTGTGCTTTACAAAAAACAATTACATAAATAAGCTATATAGAAATTAATATTACATTTCCTGAGTGCTACAGAAATTAAAATATTCGTTTTGTTTTTTAGTTTATCCTTTTCACCAAAATGTGAGCAATAGAATTCATTACACTGTTAAACGTTTTCTCTCACAAGAGTAGGCTAAGCAATAACCCTGCTTTCCCATTATTATTTATGAAGTTTTTATTGATTCACTGCAACTGGAAATAAACATTACACATTACTTTGCTCGAGTTGTAACTTGAGTCAGGAGTTGTAACTTGAGTCAGCATTTTGTCTAATAAGTATTTGTATTGAAAGTATCCTTAAATGCGATAATATATCCACCCATCAGATGTCACATTATGTCATAATGGTGAAAAAGCAAGTCCACGTTAAAATCAAGGTCATAAAGTGGTTAGAAAAACAAGTTGGTTAAACCAACACTCTTTGAACAATAACGTTAGAGATCAAAATACATTTCAACTGACACAGGGAACAAGGTTATGCTTTTGTCTATAGAGATGTTTACTAGCATTCCAGGTCTCTATATTCCCTGGGAGGTTTCCATCACTATGGTGACAGCTGCTGATGTCATCCAGTCCATGCCACTGGGTTTGGTGGGCTCTGTTCTGTCCCCCTCCCCCCTCTCTGTTTCGTTTGCATCAAAACTTAAGCACCAGATCAACATGATTAGAAAATTATCACTTCATAAGCCACCTCTGTTGTTTTAAATTAATTTGCTGCATGGTAAGCCGTGTAAATATGATACAGTGAAAAAAAAGTTGGATTTTTTTGGATGGATGTCACCTTTTATTCGAATTAAGTTCTCTGTAATGAGCCCTAGAGGCATGCTAATCACATTAGCACTGTATTTGCAGGGAGGTTTGGTGTCCAAGGTGTATATTTACACATGGGCAGCTGGAATATATCCAGGGTTTGAAATTAACACACTCAGCAAAATATCGTCTAATTATCTTTATCGATAAAATCACAGAAAATATTGAGATATTATTTTTGTCAATATTGCACACCCCTAGTACTGACACAAAATGATTTGCAACGGTCGCTTTGTCATGCCCAGTGTATACAGCTTCAAAGTGTTGGTTTATTTCTGTCTCTTTTTTTTTTGGCTAGTAGAAGTTATGAATGGCCGGTAACTTAAAAATTTAGTAGCCAAATTGGCTGGTGAGTGAAAAAGTTCATTTCAATCCCTGAATATATCTATATCAGGGAGAGCAAAGTGAAGGAAATGTTTTTAGGAAATGTTCTGCTGTCATGCTCATTAGCTTACAATGAACTTTCTGTTCCTTATTATTACACATTTCTTTGCACATTTCCAGCCTATTCTTGGCATCATATGAAGCCAGATAGTGTAGTAATTATATCATTCAGCAGAAGAGAAAATGTTTCTTGAGCTACGTTAACCAGTGTCTACCGCACGCATTATGATAGACCTATAGAAAAAATATTTGAATCTTTTTCTTTTCTAAGAATGGCTTAACTGGAAGTGCTGTAAAAAAAAAAATTGAAAAAAATATTATTTTAAGGTACTTTATGATATGTTGCCATACGGCAACAGCATACAATAGTGGATCTAACTTAGAATAAGTGTAAGCTTACTTATAATTAATATTTTTCCTCAGAAATGTTGTTTGTGTTGATTCAATTGGTGCTATTATAAGCTTTAACACAGTACTTACTTATAATTGACACCTTATACATACTTTCCAACAACTTGTGCTTTTATTTATTCTATTATTTTTTTGCTGAATAATGATTTATAATTGTTTTAATTTCATTACATTTTTCATGAATATTATTTAAACTGCAAATTTATACAGTTAAAACAAATATAATACTGTATATAATGTATCATAAAACACTGACATAAAACCAAAAACATTGCAGTTCATGAAAATTCAGCATTATGCAATCTCTTGAGAGGAAGACTATGAACATATTTTGTAGAAGTGACACGGACTGGTCCTTGTTTGTTTCTGACGTTTTAGTTTGCTTTCAGCAACTACCGACAAGAGACAGCAGTCTGTCAGAAATCTCGCCACAGAAAAAAAACTGCATGTCATGTGACTTAATCAAAGCACATCATTGGCTAAACTAAGGTCTTCTCTTTCCAACAAAAAAACGTCTCAGGTTACTTATGTAACCGTGGTTCCCTGAGGGGAACGAGACACTGCATCCTCAGTGGACGCAGTGTCTCGTTCCCCTCAGGGAACCATGGTTACATAAGTAACCCGAGACGTTCCCTTTCGTGGAACTTCGAACTGTGTCCTCTAGGGGTCGCTATGGGGAACGGGATACCCACGCCGCCATGCTGAGGGGAGTGCATGCCAGAAACCATGGCGAGCACTAAGTACCAACTCTACCAGTGGCTAGCCGCGAACCTGTAGCTGAGGGAGCAGACATCCATTCAGCGGGAGCTCGACCTACAGCACGTTCCATTGGTGGAACGGCTAGCAGTTATCAGCTGGGGGAGCAACACGCCCAGTTCTCACTGAGAAGGGGACTCGACCCGCAGCACGTTCCAACCAGCTAGTTACAATTTCGGCATGGGAACACACGCCTGGTCCTCAGACGCCCGGCATTACTAATGCCGGGTTTTCCCCGGCTGGCAGTAGCTCATTCTAGCTGGGGGAGCCCAACCCACCTCTCACCGAGAGGGGGGGCCCCCAACCAGCAGCCTGATTAAAAAACCAGAGGGGTAGCATACTGCAGGCTAGCCACATCGCCAGCGCATCAGGGAGGCGGAGGACGGCCCAATCCTACTGATGCAGCTGGTTCGAGGTCTTTCTGGAGGACAGCGAGCTCAAGCCTCTCATGAAAGAGGCACCTCCGTTTTTCCTCAGCGGAGGAATACTGTTCCCATTCCAGGTAACCCTTTCATGAAAGGGGAGCAGTGCTCAACATTACCACGAGGACAGCCCATGGAGCGAGGGATTCAACTCCTCGGAGAGGATCCTGCTCGTCAGACGACACCCTCTTAGTACCCCTTGATATCGAGGGGGGCAGTGCCTCCTGTGTGCGTCGATCGAGACACACTGGTTGAGAGGAGCCCAGGAAATCGGGGCCTAACCCTCTTCGAAACAGGGAACGAAGTCCGAAACGCGTAACCCTCACCATACAGGATTTTTAGAGAGGTGGGCAAAGAAGAACGTGTGCACCTACCACTTTCGTGGGATTTTAGAGAAGTGGCAAAGCATAGCGTGCACACCTACCACCTAGGTGGAATTTTAGACGGGTGGCAAAGCTTAACATGCCCACCCACCACTTACTTGGATTTTAGAAAAGCGGCAAAGGATAACGTGCACACTTACCACTCACGTGGATTTTAGAAGGTGCGCAATGAGCACTCTTAGGGTTCTATTGTCACCCGGACGTAATGGCCGGTCGGGAACAGCAGCTCCAGCACCCTCCTCAGAGGTGAGGGGAGTGCTGTCTCCAGGGTGTGTCGCCAAGACACACTATTTGAGTGGCACCCAGGGTACCGGGGTGTTACTCCACTTTAAACCAAAGGGAACGAAGACAGCACGCGTAACCCTTACCTTCACAGGATTTTAGAGAAATGGGCAAAGAATCCCATGCCCATTTACCACCTAAGTGGAATTTTAGAAAATGGGCAAAGCAACACGTGCCCATCTACCAGCTATGTGGATTTTTAGAGAAATGCGCACAGCTTCACATGCACATCCCCCACTCACATGGCATTTGGAGAAATGCGCAAAGCCTGCTTCACGTGGACACTTATCATATTATCTGGAATTTAAGTTCATGGAAACCCGACCATATCGGCCAGCCAGAAGAGGCCGGCTTACACAGGAGGATCCTGATGATGCCCCCTGTACCTCCCGTTCGTTGCCTCAGCAAGAAGGAGTACGCCGGTGGCCAGGAAGCCCCTCGGGGTGACCAGGCACTGTAGCCCCGTCCAGGTGCCTTGCAGCGTAGCACCGGGGGCCCGATGTTCACGAAGGCTCCCGAAAGAGCCCGTAATCGGCCGCATTATCCAGGAGGTATGAAGCCGAAGCCCGGCTCT